CGGAGGGGAACTTGCAGGGGGTGGTGTTCCCATGTATCTGCTGCCCCTTGTCCTTCTGGATGGAAGTGGCCGTGGGTTTGGAAGGTGCTGCCTGAGGGGCCTTGGTGAGTTTCTGCAGCGCATCTTGTAGATGGTACACACTGCTGCGACTGAGCGTCGGTGGGGGAGGGAGTGGGATGTTTGTGGATGTGGGGCCAATCGAGCGGGGGCTGCTTTGTCCTGGATGGTGTCGAGCTTCGCGAGTGTTGCGCCTGAGGCTGGTCAAGGATCCTGCATTGGGATGGAGAGAGAATGAGTCTCCAGGGGGCAGCCTGGCCTTTCTTTGTCGTCTCAGTCATATTGAGGAGGTTCTGGGAGACGTTCTGCCCAGAGTTTAATCTGTTTTCTCTGTTTAAACTGTAGATGGACCCCTGGACCTGAACATGGAACCCAACAATGGTACATAAAGGCTCATCAGCCTTTCTGCATTTGTGTATCTCCCTGAGGATGGTGATCATCTTCTGTCTCATCATCAGGATTGTGCTTCCTGTCTCTCTATCATTCTCTTCATCTCTTTCTCTCTGCTTCCTGCTTGGTCTCTCTATCTCTTTTTCCTCTCTTTTTTCTCTCTTCCTATTACTCTCTCTCTCTCACTCACTCTCTCTCTCTCTCTCTCTCTCAGAAAGCTGCCTCACCCTCAGTGTCAGGACGGTCGGTGGGCAGTGTCAGGGGATGGTGTCACTAACAGCTGCTCTGGGATCTTTCTGTGAGGAAAATCTCACTTCCCTCTCTCTCACCGTCACACACACTCTCTCACACTCTCACACACTCTCTCACACTCTCTCACACACTCACACACTCTCTCACACACTCTCTCACACTCTCTCACACTCTCTCACACACTCACACACTCTCTCACACACTCTCACACTCTCTCACACTCTCTCTCTCTCACACCCTCTCACACACTCTCACATACACACACTCTCTCACACTCTCTCTCTCTCACACTCTCTCTCTCTCACACTCTCTCACATACACACTCCCTCTCTCTCACCCTCTCACACACTCTCACACACTCTCACATACACATTCCCTCTCTCACCCTCTCACACTCTCTCACACTCTCTCACATACACACTCTCTCTCTCACACTCTCTC